CAGTTTATCGAGGTTTTCGAGGTGTTTGGTATCGAAGCCGCACGGACAGCTGTTCTTCGCGAATTGACCCAGGTGCTTGCGTTCGACGGTTCTTATGTCAACCACCGCCATTTGGCGCTACTGGTCGATGTCATGACTGTACGAGGCTACCTGACACCTGTCACTCGACACGGTATCAACCGTGCTGATAACGGTGCACTCATGCGTTGTTCGTTCGAAGAAACCGTCGAGATTCTGTTGGAAGCGGCCGCTTTCGGAGAGCTGGACGATTGCCGTGGTGTTTCTGAGAACCTTATTTTGGGCCAGATGGCTCCTGCTGGTACCGGAGAGTTCGATATCTACCTTGACCAGAACCTCATGAACACTGTCGTGTCGAACAATGCTCGCTTCGGTGTTATGGGAGCGATCGGCGCCAAGGATGCCATCATCTCCGACGGTGCTGCTACTCAGTATGACACGGGCTCGCCTATGCAGGAGAGTGCTTACATCGGCACTCCCGACCCCGAGTCGAACTTCTCCCCCATTCGCCAAGCCGGTGCCGAGACTCCTGGTGGCTTCACCGAATACCAGCCTACTGGCGGCTTTGGAGGCGGGTTCAGTCCGGCAGCTACAAGCCCAGCTGGCTATTCCCCCAGCAGTCCGTTCAGCGCGAACCCGACGTCGCCTGGCTACTCCCCGACCTCGAGTTATTCTCCCACGTCACCGGGTATGGCTATCACCAGTCCTCGTTTCATGTCGACGTCTCCTGGGTTCTCCCCAGCGAGTCCGTCATTTGCTCCGACATCACCAGCATACTCTCCTACCTCTCCTGCGTATGGCCAGGCATCTCCCACGTCGCCATCGTACTCGCCAACTTCGCCAGGGTTCTCGCCGACATCGCCGAACTACAGTCCTACTTCACCCAGTTTCAGCCCGGCTTCACCGGCCTTTAGCCCAACCTCGCCTAGCTACAGCCCGACAAGCCCTGCTGTTGGTGGTGTTGGCCGGCATCTGTCACCCACTTCTCCTACCTCACCTAAGTACACGCCTACTTCGCCTGGGTGGTCTCCTACGAGCCCCCAGACGTATTCTCCTACATCTCCCAACTTTGCCGGCTCGCCGACGTCACCTGGAGGACCAACGTCTCCTGGCTACAGCCCGACGTCGCCGGCTTTCAGCCCTACGTAAGTAACTCATGAGCAACGATTGAATATCATTTGGTCGCTAACCAAGCATGCAGATCTCCACGCCAGTGAAATCCTAAGATGGTTGCTTTGCTCCTTTCTGACCTTCGCTGTATCATTGTACTATCACCTACCTCCCAGACGACCTCTAAGAGGAACAAAAGAAAAAAACATCTTGCATTGTATGTTGCGGAATTGGTTGGTTATTTCATGCAGAATTTGGGGCGCCTGTAGCCTTTCCCTTTCACCCATCCGTTTTTAAACTGTATGTTTTTCTCTTCTTGCGTCAGCCTGCAGGTCGATCCCCTTATTATCCCGTATTAGTTTCCTTTCCTACTTTTTCTTATTTTCGAGCCAGCCTGCTGAAATTGCGAACGGTTTTGTGGGTTGGTGATATTCTGTGTTTTGCTTGTTTTCTTTCCCCTTTTTTCGCACATTGAACTACCAAGCGTTTAGACTTGAGGATGCTTGTGGACCATGACTCGGTTATGAGAATACGATGGTCCTCTCCGGAGATGGTGTTGTTTTCTCTGAGTTTGCATCGAGGACGAGTTATTGCGTGTATTGCTGCGATCGATCAGTATCCCTATGCTTTGTACACAGACGACTGCAGATGGGTTATGGACGAGACCGGAGGTCAATAATAATGAAAATGGTTGCCAAAACATGTGCCATATAGTGATCAAGAGTAGTAGTAGATGTACTTATAGTCTACATAGTAATGTAGTGAAGGAGCCAAGAACGTCGGCGAAATGAAGCTCCGCAACGCCAGGTGGCCCGTTCCGCATCGGGGCCGAGCAAGCAACTCCCCCGAGTCTCCAGTGCTCAACTTCACTGTCAGCTCCTCCCCCCTCTCTTACTTATCGGAAGCTCGAGCACAGAGTCGCCATGCGCCTCTCACTGTTCACTCCTACCCATCTCTCTCACACAACATGAAGAACTGGTGGCTGTGGCGTTTCCTGCCGTTGGCGCTTCGTGAGTCTCACTGTGGAGCTTAGCCGCATCACGCGATAGCTACTGACCTCCAAGCACCACTTTCCAGTGCTTCTGCAGGCGCTTGCGGTTGAACATAATGGACAGCCCGACAAACAAGAACCCTTAACAGATGTCGTTTCTGAATCATATGCACATGCTGAGTCCTCGAGCGGGCCCGAGGGCTCGAACAGCCTACCGGGACACGGTGAGCAGCCCTGCGTGCATGATGCCAGCGCACTCATCCTTGCTAACAACTAGATTCTTGATGTACCAATAGAACACGTTGAAAATGCCCTTCGAATCCTCCGAGAAAGCAAAATCCCCATAGTCACTCACGAGAAACCGTCCGGTCTACTGGGATACACTTGGCATTACGCCCAGGAAGCCTTCCGAATCCTATTCATGAATGGACCGCAGCCGGATGGGACACATAGGCAGAAACTCGATCCAAATGTTGCAAAGGCTGCGAACGAACTCAAGATTGCGGCGCAGGAGGACCAAAACCCCGATGCAATCTTCCTCTTAGCGGAAATGAACTTCTACGGCAACTTCACCCACCCGAGAGACTTCAAGCAGGCTTTCCATTGGTACCAGACCTTGGCGTCGTCGACTGGAAACGGTACGGCACAATATATGCTTGGGTTTATGTATGCAACGGGTGTTGGAGGTGCGGTGGAGCGCGACCAGGCTAAGGCCCTGTTATACCACACCTTTGCGGCCGAAGCAGGCAATACGAAGTCGGAAATGACCCTCGCGTATCGCTACCACGCTGGGATCGGGGCTCCTAGAGATTGCGACCAAGCGACTTATTACTACAAGAAGGTAGCTGACAAGGCTATCGATTACTACCGATCTGGACCGCCCGGTGGCAATAGCATGATCCGCGAGTCCTACCGTTGGGCGGACGAAGAGGGTGGTGTTTATGGTGAAGGCGCCAGTGTATCGACGCCTGCGCGCGATGGAACGCATTCGAGCACAGAAGCCAGCTTGGAAGACGTCCTGGAGTACTTGGATCTGATGTCGAGAAAGGGCGAACTGAAGGCTACTTTCAGCTTGGGAAAGATGCACTATGAAGGGGGTCGCGGCTTGCCTAGAAATTTCCGCAAGTCGATGAATTACTTCAGACAGGTCACCAAGCGGTACTGGAATAAAGACGGTTCGGTGAACCCCAACCATCCTGTTGGTGTTGAGAAGCTGGCTTCGAAAGCAGCAGGCCATATTGGCATGATGTACCTGCGGGGCGAGGGGGTGGAGCAGAACTTCGCGACCGCTCAGACTTGGTTTAGGCGTGGACTCGCGAACGGTGATGCGCTTTGCCAGCATGAGCTCGGACTGATGTACCTGCATGGCTATGGCGTAACACCAGATGCGTTCAGAGCTGCATCATACTTTAAGGCTGCGGCCGAGCAGGACTTCCCGGCCGCTGAAACGAGACTGGGTGCCCTGTTTTTGGACCAAGGGGATGTCCAGACCGCCACCCGCTATTTCGAACTCACTGCGCGCTGGGGCTGGATGGAAGCCTTCTACTACCTTGCAGAACTGTCCAACAATGGGGTTGGGCGGAAACGACACTGCGGAATGGCCGCGTCTTACTATAAGATGGTCGCCGAGAGGGCGGAAGTTATCCACTCATCCTTTGAGGAAGCGAACACCGCATATGAGAACGGAGACAAGGAACGGGCATTCATCCCCGCTCTGATGGCTGCGGAACAGGGCTACGAGCATGCGCAGTCCAATGTTGCGTTCCTGCTGGACGAGCAGCGGTCTTTGTTCGCCATTGACACCATCCTCCCAGGAGCCAAGAAGAGCAGACCAGCTCTGCTGCGAAATGCGGCGCTGGCTCTTATCTATTGGACACGCTCCGCCAAACAGGCGAACATCGACTCCTTGCTCAAGATGGGCGATTACTACCTAACGGGCATGGGCTTTGCCGCGGATGCGGAGAAGGCCTCGACCTGCTATCACACCGCAGCCGAAGTGCACTACAGCGCACAGGCGTACTGGAACCTGGGATGGATGCATGAAAATGGTGTTGCCGTGGACCAAGACTTCCACATGGCCAAGCGATACTACGATCTCGCGCTGGAGACTAGCTCCGAGGCGTATCTGCCTGTGAAGCTCAGTCTGCTTAAACTGCGGATGCGAGGATACTGGAACTGGCTGACGAACGGAGACATCAATCCCATCCAAGAGGAAGAAGGTAAGCAACCCCCACGTAATTACCGCTGAGAAGATCCGAACAGCCACACTTACACACCAACGCAGAAGTGAGATCGCATCGAACCCTAAAGGAATTTATCGCCACTTTTATCCAGAACAACGAGGAAGAAGAGGCCGCCTTCCGCGCACAGATGTACAAACAGGACGAGGAGGACGAACTCATGTCGAGCAATCGCCTGGACGACCACCGCGAAGACGGCTACTACGACGAGCTGGAGCTCGATATTGATGATAGTTTTTTGGAGGGATTGCTCATTCTCAGTCTTGCCGCAACGCTGCTTGTGCTTGTGTACATGAGGCAGCAGCGCAACCGCCAGCGTCAGAACGACAACGGCGGCGCGAATGCGGCGGCAGGAGGCAATGCCAATAATGATCGGGGAATGTTCCCTCGCCCGGGCGAGCCGGGTTTCAATGATTGGCTTGCTGGGGCGGTAGGTCATTAATGATATAGAATTGTGCTTTTCGCAGTAATGTATATGCTTGATTTAGCTTAAGTACACGAATGATACCTTCCTAGTTAGCTACCATCTACCGAGTATGTAGAGAAGTAATTGAGTATCGATCTTATCAGCTGACTTGTCTTATCGATAAGCATATTTACTTTCCACTTCATACTTCCAAGTTCATACTTACACCATCCCCACAATCTATCCCAAATACACATCTACCTCATCCAAGCATTGAACCTCCTCAACCTGAGAAACCAGGCTATCAGAAAGACACACACACAATGAACCCAAGCCAAACACCAACCCCCAATCCCAAACGCCGCCGTCTAAACACCACCACAACAACCCTATCATCACCCTCATCAACGCTCACCAAACCATTCAAATCGCCTCTGCGCAGACCAGCCCAAGCCCAAGCACCAGCACCAGCACCAGATACCACCACCAGCACCACCACAACTGCCACAAACACATCCTCTTCATCCTCCAAAGACACAACACCCGCCACCCCCAAGCCCAACCCCTCATCTTTCACCACCCCAATCCCCAAACCCACCCCTACCACCAGAGAAAAGAAAGAACAGAAGCAAAAAGAAGAAGAAAAAGACCCCACCCTCTCCACCCTCCGCACCACCCACCGACACCTCCAATCCCGACTCCTCTCTCTCCGCACAGAACTAGAAACAGTTACTCAGGCGCAGCGCATCGAGGAATCCCACCGCGATGAGGAACTAGAAAAATTGATTGTGAAGTGGAGGGGTGTGGGGCAAAGGGTTGCGGAGGAGGTGTTTGAGGGCGCGAGGGAACGGGTTGTGAGGATGGGGGGTGTGAGGGGGTGGAAGGGGATGGAAATGAGTAGGAGTAAGGGTGGTGGTGGTGGGTGGTGGGAGGATGGTGATAATGATCATGAGAATAGTAGCTATGGTCATGAGGAGAAGGGTGGGGGTAAGGAGAAGGTTTGTATTATCCTTTATTCTTCTTTTCTGCTTGGTTGGTGTATTGTGGATTGGATATGTGCTGATGATGTATCTGTGTGGTAGGACGAGGAAGAAGATGAGGAAGAGGAAGAGTTCACGATAGGGATGATGTTGAAGACGATGGGGATTGATTTCAAGGTTATTGGGTATGATGGGGAGGGGCAGAGGTGGGTATGATTCTGCTGGGTCAATTGTATTGATGTGGATGTGGTGGAGATACTATTGATGTGATTGCTGTATGTCTATGTATCTGGGAGAGCAGTCTACTTGCTAGGCCGATGATGAAAAGCCAGCTATAATATGAATAAAACAAGCATGTGATCAATCTATGCTAACGCTATACTGCAAATACTCCCTACTGTGACCGCAATTTGCAAACTCCTAACTAATTATGCCATCCTGGCCCATACATATGTTCTCGCCTGTTTCACGCCATCCCGTATCGTAACTGCTCTGTAGAAAAGTCCATAACAAAAGATGAACAAAGAAAGGAAGCTTTATCCAGACAGTCTTCCTCGAAATTAAATGATGTCCATGCCATCAATATCATCACCATCAATGTCCTCCATATTGTCAGCAATAGCACCGCTCAGGGCCATATGGGAAGGCTTCGGATCCTTATTCGATCCGTATCCTTCTCCGAAAGCACCGACCATCTCCAACTCGGGCCCGGCGATGATACGACCCTCGGTGTCGACTACCTCGCACAGATCGATCAAACTCTGCCGGCTTAGAGACTTGAAGCCATCAGTCCGGACAACACGTCCCCAATTGGCAAGGCAGAATTGAGCGGCACGACGCATCAGCCACTCTTCGTTCGTGCGCCCTGCACGCTCCCAGATGATTGCAGCGTTCTCTACATCCAATTCGCGACTGAGGCGATTGACGCAAAGTAAACGCAACTTGGGCATGTCGTACATATTCGCCATGACGAGCATTCCCGCAACGTCGATGATATCAGAACAAAACTCCAAATGACCGGCGATACTATCTGTATACAGATAGTAGATAAACGCACGCACAACCGAGTACGGCTCGGGGATGTGCATCCTGTTTGCATGATATTCAGCCATTTGAGCCGAATAAAGCCTCTTGAAGTGGGGCCATCGCAACTGCAGAATGATCCGGTGCACATGAATCGGAGGTGAAGTAGGTGTGTTGGGGGAGAGGAAGGCTGGCTCTGATTGTGAAGTGGGGGTGTCCCCCTCATCGTCCGAGTCAACATGATCGTCTGAATTAGCGGTGATGATAAAGTCTGCACCGCTACCAGACTCTGGTGGTTGATCAAACGCTGCCGAAAGGTCTGCTCCTAAACCGGACAAAGGGCCCATCCCTGTCGGTTCGGAAAGCGACGTCCGGCTTTGACTGGGCGAGAAGGCAGACAGCTCGTTTCCCAGTAAGCCGTATCTCTCAAGGTCAATGCAGAGCACCTCGCTCATGTTATTCTCATCACTATTTCCCGGAGTGGCACCGGTGTCGAGGCTACTACCAAGTAGCCACGCTTTGGTACCGTCAGCGTTCACAGTGCAATAATGCCATCTAAAGCCCGGCTTGAAGATTTCCTGCCCGTCAGCCAACCGCTGCCAACGTAAAGCGTCCAGATCCAGTGATGACAGGTTGCACTCATAAGTACGCACTGTCTCGGACGGAGTGATCAGATCCAGGAGCACCCCAGATGCATAGGCCTGAAAGTGAGTGCCAGAGAACAGTGCAGGAACGTGAGGGCCGGACTTGAACCGAAGACAAGAAATGGCGCCCGGAGCGATCGGTTTCCGACGATTGCCATTGCGAACTTGGACACTCCCGGAATTCGCTGCATAGCTGCCGGACCGGCCCGAGAGCTGTTGCGGGGGGCTACTAAAGATAGCGTCTGGACTATAAGTAATCCTGCTGGTTGGCGCTGGGGAATCCACGGTACCTTGTGAAGTTGCCGTTCCAAGAGACGGAATGCCTTTGAGATCCAGCCACCAGATATCCGTTGTACGTTCCATGTCAGGATCGAGACCTCCAAAGATCCAGAGGCGGCCGCCCCAAACCCAGGCGATGTGGTCGAAACGAGCCGTGAATCTCCAGGTGCGAGACCAGGTCCAGGTTTTCAGGTCCAGATACGACAAGTCGTCGAGGATCACATTGTTCTCGCCGGTTACTCCTCCCATGATGAAGAGCTTCTCATCGTGGATGACGGCAGCATGGCGAGCCCTTCCTCGGGGAATTGGTCCATGGATTTCCGGCTGAGTCCAGGTAGAGGTTGAGATGTCCAGGATGACAACGTCAGATAGATGATCGCGGTGTTCATTTTCTCCACCAAATACAATCAACTTATCACCTTGGTAGAGGGTAGCCGTATGACCTACAACGATTGAGAGTATGAATTAGTACAATTTGCGTTTCCTTATCGTAAGTATGTGGGGAAACTAACCCATGCGGACACCGGGAATGTCACCATAGTTATCAACCAGTTCCCACCGAAGAGTACTGAGATTCAGACGCAAGACGTGGTTGTAAACTATTTTAGCAAGTGTAAAGCATTAGTATTAGACTTGAACGATGAATAGTGTGAGATATAAGCATATGCACCTTCATCAGTGTACTGATCAAAGCCGCCGAAAGCGTAGATCTGGTCATTATTGCAATACGTCACCGACGCATTGACCAGGCAGGCTGGCACATGGCCTTGTGCCTTGCGGATGCTTGGGCGGTAATCCGCACCGCTACGGCGACCATCACTGGGACTAGGGGGCATGAGGAATGTGGACGCCGGTCTCTGAAGGGTGGAGGAGAGGGGAGTCATCGGATTAGGAGTCCTGGACGACCCGGTCCAACGCGGTGGGTCAGCGTGGAACGGCGAAAAGGGCGACGAAGCGTTACTATTCCTGGCGGTAGTGGAGGATAGCCGCGCCATTAGGGTCCGACAGAAAAGACGGGCCCAGGGGGTCAAAAAAGGAGGATAACCAAAGGGCAAAGATGGTGAATCAAGAGATGAATCAGTAGTAACACCCACTCCCCTCACATACTGATGCTGATCGCAGTTACCCCACGTCTCTTGTCAGCGGCAAGAGGAAAAAAAAAAGGAAAATGAAAAGGAGAGAAACGGCAAGCGCCAAGCCGATCGTCGCCGAAAAGGGAAGAGCCGCATGTCAGGTGGCAATCTAACCTAAACGGGACTAGGGCAGCCGTACCTCCAGTAACCGGCGTTGCCATGGGTGAGCAGAACTATATCCTTTATTTACTCCCTTTTCCTCCTTCACCCCCGTCCCCTCCTCTTCCTCCTCTTCATCATCTTCCTTGTTCTTTGCCATTTATCTGCTACTAATTGCATACCATATTGCGTGGGATTGATATTCCCTGCTTGCATTCAATACTACTGTATCGCGGTTAGGTCTTCTTCGTCCTGTGTCCAAGCCAGCGTGACTGGGATTGGCCCTGCCAACGGACCTTGAAGGCACTTCTCTCTCGATACCCTCCCCTATTTCTCAAAAAGTAAATATATATCAGCATGGCTACACCTACAGTTTCGACTCCCGTGAAGACTCACCATGGGATCTTCTCCACTAAGACGGCTGGTGGCCGCATGCCCCTTACGCCTTCACCACGCACTCGCGCGGGAAGTGTGACGTCAAACCACTCCTCCCCATTCACACCTCCGTGTGGTGCTCAAGAATCGGGCAAGGAGCATGGAAAGTCTGTCTATGGTGGTAACCTCTCTTCATACTTCGCCAAGTCTGTCTCGAGGACAGCCCGCAACTACCGCGAATCCCCCAAATCCAACATCGCCCGTGCTCGCACGCGCAAGTCTCCCAGACACCTTGAGCTGGGTGTATCAGAATGGGCCTTGACTGGCACTGGTCCTTCATCACAGACTCCTACCAAGGAGCGCCTGCGGAAAGAGGTCGTGAAGAAGGAGGTGACCAAGGAAGTGGCCAGGAAAGAACCGCCGAAGAAGGAGGCAATCAAGAAGGAGGTGTCGAGGAAGGAAGCGCCTAGGAAGGAGATTACCACTCGGACTACGAGGTCAGGAAAGACAACCGTTCGCATTCCCCACAACGCAGGTGACAGATTCATCCCGAACCGTACTGCCAGTGAGGGACTTGTGACTGCTGGCACAGCCAAGCCAGAGGAGAGCCAACGACCAAAGACCAGTAGCAGCGATGGATCCTCCGTCCTTGCCAATGCCGCGAGTGCATTCGACATTGGAGGCCGCGGAACAGATGAAGACATCACCGCAGCTCTGGAGAGCCTTGGTCTCGAGGATAACGAGCCAACGACTTCATACACCAAGCCAGCACCGGATGCTGTTGCGTACGAGTCATCCTTGGCAGATGCCTGTGGTGTCAACCTGAACACTCGTATCCTGGCCTTCAAGCCGCCACCCCCAGAGTCTTCCAAGCCCATTGATCTGCGCGCTCAGTACAACCGCCCTCTCAAGCCTGCCAAATCTCAGTCCGCTCAGTTCCGCCGACGTGTTCAAACCGCTCCTGAGCGTGTCCTGGACGCCCCTGGTCTCCTCGACGATTACTACCTCAATCTGCTGGATTGGAGCTCTGGCAACCAGGTTGCAATTGGCCTGGAGCGCAATGTTTACGTGTGGTCTGCCGACTCAGGGTCGGTCAGCTGCCTGCTGGAGACTGCACCTGACACCTACGTGAGCAGTGTAAAGTGGAGTGGTGATGGCGCCTATGTCGGTGTCGGTCTCGGAACTGGTGAAGTCCAAATCTGGGATGTCGAGGAAGGAACCAAGCTTCGCAGTATGTTTGGCCATGACTCGCGTGTAGGTGTCATGGGCTGGTCGAAGCACACATTGTCTACCGGTGCCCGCAGTGGTCTGGTATTCAACCACGATGTTCGCATCGCACAGCACAAAGTTGCCGAGCTGGTCTCGCACACCTCTGAAGTCTGTGGTCTGGAGTGGAGACCCGATGGTGCTCAGCTCGCCACCGGTGGTAACGATAATCTGGTTAATATCTGGGATGCTCGCTCTCTCAGCGCGCCTAAGTTCACCAAGACCAACCACCGCGCTGCCGTTAAGGCCCTCAGTTGGTGCCCCTGGCAGTTGAACCTACTTGCCACCGGTGGAGGTTCTTATGACCGTCACATCCACTTCTGGAACACTACTACTGGTGCTCGTACGAACAGCATCGACACCGGCTCCCAGGTCACCAGCTTGAGATGGAGCAACCACTACCGCGAGATTGTCAGCTCGAGTGGATTCCCCGACAACTCGCTGAGCATCTGGAGTTATCCCACTCTGGTCCGGAACGTCGAGATTCCTGCCCACGAGACCCGTGTGTTGCACAGCTGCCTTAGCCCAGATGGGCAACTCCTGGCCACCGCAGCCGCTGACGAGAGTCTGAAGTTCTGGAAGATTTTCGAGCGCAAGCCTGGAACCAGCGCTGCGGCCTCTCGGGAGGGTGGTGTTGGCAGCAAGGCTCAGATGACCAAATCCATGACCATTCGGTAAATTGGTTGGTCATCTGTAATTTCTTCTGATCTTTTTATTTTTTCTTCTTCGATGACTATATTTCGGGTTCGGTATCGTAGACCGGTTTTGTCTAGATATCATTGGTTCTATTGGTGTTCAGTACATTGGGGGCACATATCCGGATCCATGGGATGGAAGGGGTGTTATTGGTAATTGGCGTTTGTATCTAGGTTTGACCGTATAATAGCTGTCAGGTTTCTTGTATAGAAAGTCGCATACTCATAACTGCTCGTCTTTTCGTTCCTGCGTCTTAGAAGGGATAGAAGCTGGCCAGCACATAGTCAACCAAGGCTATGCGGCTAGCTAGTCCTTCAGAAAAATTCCGACTGGAAGGGCAAGTCAGAATCATTCAACAACAGATCCCACTGCAGGCCATCCATTTCCGGCGCCACATTGAAGAGATCAGACCACAGCTGACCCCAGCTATTCCTCCTTGCTCCGCTCCACATTGGGTCCTCGTCTTCATGACCCAAGCCAGGCATGCTATCCGACAAAGGAAGATGTCCGCTGGCCGCCGCATTTGTCATGTTCTCATCCACCCCGACAGGCCGGGACCGTGACGGAGCAGCGCTCGACATCGCCCCACCCGATCCAGAAGCCACAGCAATACTATCGGTTCTCACAGGCGACCCTGCCTGTTGCTGCACTTCCCTCTGAGATTCCTGAAGAATAGACAACAACGTCTGCGTATTCTTCCTAATAGCTTCCATAAGCGACGCCGACTCATTCTGCGATTTCTCCAGTGCATGGATAACATCCAAGACTTCCTGCTTGCGGGTATCTGCTCCCGGAGCGGTAGGCTTCATAGACACGTCCGTGGCCAGGACCATAGCGGCGAAGAAAACGTGGTTCATGACAAGACTGTAATCGGAGGGGTTGAAGCCGGCGAGAACGCCTGTGTCTTTGAGCGAGCGGCGAAGGTCGAGGACCGTTTGGGCGGAACGAATGCAGGTCAGTCGAGAGTAGGCGTATTTGGGGTTCGTTAGGCCTTCGCGGTGGTAGGGGCGGTGCAGGCGGCAGAGGCGGACGTGGAAGCTTAGATGGGCGACAGTTCGTTGCCAGGCGAGGTAGGGTCGTTGTTGGGTTATTTCTTGGCTTTCTTGAATGCTGGCGGGGTCATTTTGGAGGAAGGTTGGGAGGGATTGGACGAAGGTGTGGAATTTATGGTCGATATTGAGGAGGGTTTTGTAGTCGGGTTGGGAGGATTCGAGAAGGGTCATTCCTAGGGTGTCGATAATTTCGCGGCATAGATCTGCGTAGTGGATTCTGAATATGAACACGGACATGGAGGTTGGGACTGAGAGGGGGAAGCTGTATGCTGGTCCTGTGGGGGTTAAGGATTCGTCGTCGATGTTGCTGGGATGGTTTACTTTCATTTGTTTTGGGTGTATGAGGTAGGTGCCTTCTTGTGGGCTTTGCGAGAATGCGGTGATCCTGTGGTTGTTAGTGTATTTGGGGGGAAATGTGAGTCTGGAGGAGGTAAGGTGTACCAGTCGTTGGAGACGAGGTGCCACCATGCTCGTCTCTGTACCTCGACCTCGATGGCATCGTATTTTGAACGTTTTCTTTCGTCTTGCTTTTGGATTGTGTCTAGCAGGTGGATTTGCATCGATCGGGCCATGCATATTGCGTCGATTCTGAGTGCTTGGGCTTTGTGGGAATACCAATCCGCATGGAAGAGAACGCGCGACAAGGCACTAATGGCTCCAAGAGCAGTGGTTGATGGCGGCACTGGCTGGATCGGGTTGTCAATTATACAGAGAGCTAAACGCGCGTATGTGGCGAAGGCTGCTTTGGCTTCTGCCTCTGTTGCGCTGAGCAACTGCAGAAGTTCGGGGGTTGCAACCAGAACAGCCCCAGCGAAGATGCTGAAGAACAGTACCAGGACAGTGAGGCTTGGCTCCTCGCCCTCGAGTATACCCCTGTATGTTTCATCTAATAGTTCTTTTGTGGACGGGATATGGAAGACTCCGAATGTTGGCTGAATGACGACGTTGAAGTGGTCTAATAGTTGGCGAGCCTGGGTCCATGGGGGAAGACACCTGGATATGCTCTTCGTATCTCGCATGCAGTCATAGAGATCAGCAATGCGTCTTTGTAATGAAGATAGGGGTAATAATGTAAGCGGAGTGACACATCCATTGCTCGAGCCTCGTGCCTAGCGAATGTTTCAGCTCGCGAAAGCAAGAGTTTGTAGGAAATACATACACCACTTGTGACCAAGCCCTGGTTTGTGTCGCTGCCCTGGGCACCAGTAGCTTTACCAGGCGGATCTAGATGTGCATTAGATTGAGGTCACTGAATAACCAGCCAGGTTGAGTGTCATCTCTGGCCAATAATTGGGACGATCCCAGACCCGTAACGATGGTTCTAACCAGCTAGTTATAACTCACCCCGAGGAATATGAATTCGATCGAAGACTGCCTCTTCTAGCCTCGCGACCCGATTTAAGATATCATTCGTATCTCTTTCCAATTATGTCAGTGAGAACTACAATGACACTCCTAAACATGGAGCCCACTAACGCAGCAGTTGTGTTCTGGCTATAGGTGGGTGGTATAGTTGGTGCTGGCTGTTGCTGTTGTATGGAGACTGTCGCAGCAGTGGGCTGATTGCCAGATAGATGAGCTCCCCGCAGTTCGTCCGAACTATCCGATGGACCCTGACCTGTATACTCGCAAGGTACCTTTCTCAGAACGCAATTCGAACAAGGTTGGGTACGATCACAGCGCAGCTTCTTCGCTCGACAAAAGCGGCAGGAGAGGGGCGGTCGAGACCATCGTTGCACCATGGCCTCCGGGACGGCGTCATTTTTCCGTTTCATGTCTTATCGCCGGCAACATTAGGTTGAGGCTATAGCAATCTAGATGGCTGGAGAACAATATGAAGTGGAGAAGACGAACGGTCAAGGTTCGGCTGTCAAAACTCCACCCGCGCCTTGCCGAGATCGGGTAAGCTCCGCCGGGCAGGTTGGGGGAGAACCCTAACTGGTTGCCTGATAGGGACTCACAATCTACTGCTTTCCAATCCATCTAGACTAGATGTAAAAGAAGATCACGATGATAGAGGCTCCGTACATATCTGACTATATTCTGCTTCGTCGCTCATCTGTTTGCCTTCTGCTCGTGCATATTACAATTCGCATTCCTTCCTAAGAGACCAGAAGATAAAGTTTCTTCTAGTTAGAGAGATGAGCCTCTACAACCAAGTTGATTAAGGACTACTTACAGTACTACGAGTAGACTATATGGTAATTGTAAGTCATAATGGCTGACAGGGTCAATGCTTTCAAGCTAATAGATTAGCACGCCTCACTACAATTCGAGTACTCCCAACGGAGGTATAACGGTTCTTAGAGCATGGGGTTAGTTTGTCTTTATATCTTCTGTACGCGTGCTGACATCCATTGGAATACTAGTTGGCACCAACAATCGATTTGACCCATAGTGTACCATTTTGTCTGTTTCTTGACTGCTACCTCTTTTGGCGAGTCAACCATGAGTTTCCGGCGTTAATATCAGTTGGGGAGCAGCAGAAACATAAAGTGATGTTCTGATATTGATACGCTGCATCCAAGCTCAGTTTTGGTTTGACAGTTTGCGATTAAAGAGACCCTTGGACTTGGAGCGGAATTTACTCTGCAATAGTATACTATTACTGGGGTTATATGAAGTCCTGAGGCTCATAAAGTCAGATGGTAGCACCCGAGGCCCTAACGCAAGATAAGAAAAGTATTTTGATCCCCGTGCAGACTTATATGCTTTGTTTTCTGGCAGAGTCCGTTCTCATAAGGGATTGTCCGACTTGAAGAGACGCTTCACAAAGTCATTTAAAGGGCCCCAGAAACTATTTAATGGCTTGTCAGCCACTGTATTGTGAGGACGAAAATTCTTTACTTGGATACACTACTATGAAACAAGGAGAAGCCTGGGTGTAGTTTTCTCCTTGTTGTGTTCCTTGTTGTGTTGAGTTCCACAGTGCGCTGTCGAATTAAGACGAATTAGAATACCATGAGGCCTGCATGAGCTGGACGGAAACCAAGAACGTTGACTCATCGCACAACCACGCGGCTGGCAGATGGTAGATAAAACTGAGGTCTAAACGACAATACTGGCAACCAAGGGATAAAGTGAAGGAGTGGCGAGAAAAGGCTGAGCCCGCGACTACTGGAGATCTCAAAAGTCAAAAAGTCAAAGAAACAGCTCTTTGCGTCGCGCCGGGGCAGATCCCCCGGACCTCCCACTAGGGACTAGCGGTGGTGGTGACTAAGCAGGCGGGAGGAAGGCGGATTTCGCCCGGAGAGAGCGACTTTCACCTCAACCACATCCCTCCGGCACGCCTGCCTTGCTTTCAACTCCCTTCCGGCATTCACCCGGCATTCTACGGCTCGTCACACGCTGAGACTCGGAATATTGAGTTCTTGAAGTAAGAAAGACCATCTACAGAAGAAGTGCAAGTTCGAGGGTGGTCGGAAGTAGTGGTTGTGGAGACTCAACTGTCGCATTCGCCCGTGGCAAGCGACCGCTGCGACGGCGAGGCTTTACCTGTGATAAGCCCGACAACCCCCATTCACGTCGAGCTCTCGCGTGTTGATAGGCACCCCCGTTCTTTTTTCTATTTTCTTAGAAGACAGAGCAAATTTATTTGACCCAAACTTCATTAAATTTCCCTTCACCTGGCTTGACAAAGCGTCTTCTCGTCCTTGTCTGATCCCAACAGCGATCATGTCGAACCAGCAGGTGGTGAGTGCATCTTAAAAAAAAAAAAAACTCTATGAGAGCTGGAGACTTCGATGAGCCCTGATTGTGGCTTGATACTCCCTTCGAAGTTCTCCATTCCCCCGCTCTAACCCCATATCAAAACCATGTGAGATGTTGGCTCATACCAGTTATCCCTAGGGCACGGTATTCGATCGTGTCATCCAGGAGGTCTGTGATGGCTCCCAGGTGGACTTCGAGGAAAGTGGTGTGGACCAGCAAACACTGTTAGATTTGCGCAAGGTTAGTACTCCATCAAGAACCATTTTTCTTTGTTGGCGAGAGTCTTTTGAGGTCAAAAGAAGTCGTGATGTTTGGGGTGATGAGCCCCAGGGGGAGACGCCCCAAGCGGGGTCCGAGAGGTGCGGGAAGGGCGGCCGCCTGGGGGCATCGCCTGCTTTTGAGTCTCTTTTTATACCGCGCCGCTTTTACCCGCCCTAGTCGACCTGCCAAGCCGCTTCAGCATCGTCATTCGCTGCCCGTTTCCCCTTCACCTTCTCGGTCTCAGTCCTTATTATACCTACCACTTGGCCCTTTGACTCCTTGCTCCATTCAATTTCTCCTGTTGGATACAAATCTACGTATGCTAACCTTCATTCCCAGAGCTGGCAGAAGAAGCTCTCCTCATTGGGTGTCGCTCACTTCCCTTGGGACCCGCCGCCGCCGCAAGCCGCTCCCCCTCAGACACAAAATATCCTCCCTCCCACCGCAACTGTGCCGTCAAATGCTCCTCGGCCTGGTCCACCCCCTCAGCCACAGCATCATGTTCCTCCTCCCCCTCCTCAACAGCAACCCATCCCTCAGTCCGTCCCCGCTACGGCACCTCCGCTCCAGGCTCCTGCTCCGGTTGGGGCCGGCCCCAATGCCATGGGTCAACAACAACAACAACCTCACATCAAGACCGAACCTGGCGTCAACGGTCAGCCTGGGATGATGCCGATGAATAATATGATGATGCCAAACTCCTCCAACCCACAGTCTGCTCAAGAACGGGCTGCCAATATGCTTCGTCAGCGTTACGGAGCTGCAGCCGCTAACTCAGTCAGTCAGCTGCAAGCACAGTCACAGGCCCAAGCAGCCATGGCCATACCTGGCCAGCCGCGTCCCCAGCCTATGCAGCATGTACCCAACGGGCAGGCTCCACAGATCAAGCAAGAACCGGGGTATCCCCCTGTGTCTCAACCCCCTGTCGGCAATACTCAAACGGACGGTGCCGGTGATGATGCCTTGTCTGCATGGAAGGCTGAGGTTGCACGGAGGCGGGAAGCTGCCGAACGCCAGGGAGGAGAAGGTGATCGTCTCCTTCGTGACCATCTCAGACAACAGATGCTCCAGTTAGAAGGCGGTGGTCTGATGCTGCCTCTCGACGAGCATGACTACTCATCGAAGACATCGACTCGTGGGCTGGTGGCTACCCAAGCAGAGCCAGCTGATGTGTCGGCAGTTGCTGGTTCCTCATCTCATCCACCCAAGGTTCTCGGTGCTCAATTCGACGGCCCCGGTGGTGATGATGAAAGGGATGAGGATGACGAGGATGCCATCAATTCTGATCTTGACGACCCTGATGACCTTGTTGCTGAGGATCATGATGCTGAAGATGCCGTAGGCCAGGTCATGCTTTGCACTTATGACAAGGTTCAACGCGTGAAGAACAAGTGGAAGTGCACCCTCAAAGATGGTATCCTGACCACTGGTGGCAAGGAGTAAGTACATCAATATCACTCAATCCACTTAACCCTCTGCTAACAAGCGAACAGGTACGTCTTCCACAAAGGTCAAGGAGAATTCGAGTGGTAGATGTGCGTAAGCATCATCCATTTACTCCGGATAAATTCCAGAACGTGTATTCCATTCTCCATACCTCTTTCTATGTTCTACTGGCCTCGTTTATACTCAGCATGTAAAATCCCAGATCTGACTCAGGATTCTATGAGCAACGAAACCTATATCTGGTTCCTTTTTTCTTCTTCCAACTATGTCTGGATGGTCGGTGCAAGCGGAAATTTGCCTCAAATGACGATTTGATTTTCACGAAGTAAACAAACAACACCGGGATTCCTGTTTCCTTTTCACTTTTTGTCCTTGATCAACACTTTTTTCTTTATTTACTTTCCTCATACTCTTTGCTTCTTCCCCACATTGGATGTATGTGGCGCTTATGAGGTGGACGGCGGTTCCTTTTCAAAGTTCAAGCTGTACTAGAGTAACATATCTGAAATGAATGAAACAGATTGTTTTCTTCTATATTATGAACATGATCACACTCATCTTAACAAAGAGCAGCCGGGTAAAGTGGCCAAAGGCCATCCTATGCTTTCAACAAGTTACAGTAATCGATCACGTAGGGTACATGCCACAGGTTACTTCAAATGACTCCAGAATGGTGATCCGTCTACGGAGTACTTCCAAGTAAGAAGAAACAACTACGGCCCAACTAACTCACTCAACGTCCCAACGCTCACTCAATTACACCAGCGTAGCACCCAAATCAAGAATTAACTACATGATATTCATAATCGAAACCAGTAACTAACTAGTTAACTAACCTATTAGTCGACTATTGAGCATACCCGAGAGGTAATGATAATATGGAGTGAAATTGTTTCATGTTCAGACTTTTTTTTGTTTAAGGAAAGGAGCCCTTTTTCCGCAAAGCAAACAACATTACGTCAAACCTTCAACAATCGAAACGGGAATCTCAAAGGAGAGCAAACAGGCAAAACACTTAAAAGCAACAAGAACATAGCGAGGAATAGTATCTATCAGCGACTCAGCCAGTCAGTTCGAAAGTCCCATGTTTCTCCAACAACACCACAGGCAAATAAGAACAAACGACGCAAAGAACGGGAAGAAATGATCAGCAAAGATAAACAAGAGGAAATAGAAAGACACAAAAACGCAGTGTAGGAGCCAGAAGCCGGTCTGAAAAAGAAAAAAGAAAAAACATTATCTACAGAACTGATTGACGCCAGAGTACCACCAGTAGTTACTTTTTTTCATGGTCTTCCCTTGTCTCCAAGCAGCGAAAACCTCATTGTGCCAGAGAAAAAGGCAAAGAACGACAACC